CCTGCAGACAGAAATGTTCTTGCTCTGATGATTGCATTGACAGTTGAAGAAGCATTCCAAAAAGGACTTCACATTTTTCCGACCTGCAGCGTATTTAAGCAAGGTGCCAAACGCCCCTATGGTGGCACTGATCATCAGATGACTTATTTCTTTAAAAGAAAAAAAAAAGCAGATGCTAGGATCGTCAGCGATGCCAGCTGGGCCATGTGATCACATGCTTCTTGATGTTATCAGCAATACAGATTGTGCTGGGTGTGGGGATGGGAATGTGGGCTCTTCTCTTTTGTGCCCCATCAGACCTACAGGGCTGTAGGAACTTCAGTGCCTGGCATTGCGTCACACTCTGGTGCTTGAAAATGCAATCTAAGCTCTCTTTTTTTTTCAACACAAAACCAGTCCAACGCCATGCTAAGGTGTACAAACGTGTCACTGGAAGACGTGCAGTCATTCTTCCATGCTACCGAACAGCAGCAAAAGTTGAAGTGGAATTCACGAGAGGTGTTCTCCAGCTGATACAGGTCTGGAAGTGAAAAGTAAGAATGTCGAAATAGAAAGTTAGAAAGCACAGTTTGCAAAGAGGGACTGATAAAAGTATGTTTGTGTTTTGTTTGGTCCGGAGGAGGCAAATAGGCTACAGCAGAGCTGCTGCCACGCAAGTAAAATGGTGCAGCGAGGAGGAGAGAAAGCTCTGTTCTCCCACACTCTTCTTATAATGGCTTAAACTGGGCCCTGGAGAGTCAGGGGAAAAAATAGGAAATCCTTCTGATGGTAGAGGTAGGTCACTGCCGGAGCAGATGGCTGGGGGGCTGTGGAGTTTCTGTCACCACAGATTAACAACAAGTCAAACAAAAATTGTCTGTAAGGGAAGAATTGCAGAGTCCTGTGGTCCTGTCTCCCTGCCAGACCGGGGCTAAATCATTGAGACAGGAGGAAGCTGGGCTCTGAGACTCCTACAGCACACGTGGCTCTGTGTGCATCCGCTCCATGTTTGTGCAGAATGTGTTGTGGGGGTGTGAGGTGGCCAGTTCTCTCATTTCTGAACTAAGGTTATGGTATGTGGGTATTCCTGTGTGCCCTAGCTGCAAATGTCCTGGCTGACCTGAGGATCTCCATTCCCACTTGTAAAATAATGGCATTTCTTCTCTTCTGAAACCACGAGGATGGCGCTGAAGATGTGGAATAGAGACTCAGCAGGCAGAAGATGTGGTCCTGTGTGAACTCCCTTCCAGGATCCCTTCCAGCCTCAGCCCCGCAGTGCTTCTGCTCACCAAGAGGCAGCTTTTATTCCATCACAGATAGGAAAGGGAACTCCTTTAAGTGCTTGGATTTCCCAGTGCAAGAGAAGGCAAAGCAAAAAAAAAAGTCTGCTCTGAACTCCAACATTCAGGTCACCCCCTCCTCCCTCCTCCCCACACCCAAAGACCACACACTCGCACCTCCAGGCGTGCACATCTTCTGCCAGCGCAGAGGAGGTTACCGATCCCATCACAGGGCTGGTTATCTTTCAAAGAAAAAAGTCCTAAAAGAAACCCTGCGAGTTCAGTGGCACAGCCCCTCCTGCACCACGGAGCAGGGCTGTGCTGCGCAGGGGGAGCTTTGCTCTGGGGGAAGCTTTCCTAGGAAGAAGAAGCTGGAGGAGAGTAATTGTTGTTAACAGGTTTCTTGCTTAAAGGGAAGGTGAAGCATTGGAGCAGGATGGACATCCCTGGCCAGTGTGGGAATTGTGGGGGAAACATCCCTGTTTCTTATCTGTCAGAAAGGAGTTTCATGCTGTTTGCAGGTGTGTTTTGTCAGACTCGCCTCTGTATTGTGTCTCCAGCCTGAGGAACTGCAAAGCAAGCCTCTGTGAAGGCTGGTGTGAAGTGGCACAAGGCAGAGCTGCACCCAGTGGCAGTGATGCTGCTGGGCAGAGCCCACGAGGTGCTGCAGCTCTGCTGCTCCCCGTGAGAGCCACAGCTCTGGGACAAGGCGCTCGTTAGCGTGGTCAACTTTCCTGGCTGATGGCTGTGGAAGAAAGCAGCTAATGAGGTGCTCAGAGCTGCTGCTGGGCCGAAGCAGAGCTGTCTGCTTTCCCAGGAGGTGCCCGAGCAAGGTCTGCATTTCAAACACCCGTAGCACATATGGCAGACAGCGCTTGGCAGGCACTGCCCCAGCTCCAGCTTCCCCAGGTGCCAGGATTACTGCTTATCTTCAGCACCTAATGCATTTTACCTCCCACATGGGCAGACCCCTCCCACTACTGCCGTTGTGCTGTGTCTTACAGGGTGCTGTAAGCGTGGAGAAGCTCACTGGGAAAGAGACATAAGAGCTCTGCTTGGAAAAGAATGCACAAAGCGTTGGCTTTCTTAAAATGGCCCCATTTCATTAGAGTGGTAACTCTCTTTTGGACAAAAGTAAGATCTCTTTGAAAAGCTACTGGGTTGACCTATGCAGTGGTTTGTCTTTAACCAGGAATTGGCTTTTCTACAAACAGGGAACGGTATTGCTAATGCAGGCTTGGTTTGACAGGGGGACTTCTGCTGGGGTAGGATTTTGGTGCATTATGAGGCTGGTGATGTAGAAAGGACAGCAACGAAAATAACAAGTGAACGTCGGTCGGATCAGAACCTGCAGGCTCTCACCTTGAGGAGGGCACAGAGGCTCTCCAGGGCGCAGCAATGAAGGCAGCCCAGGTTCTGCTGGGGAGGGAGCGCAGTAATAGATGCAGTGAGGAGATTTTGCTGGTGAAATACCCACTTGAGAACCGCTCATGAGTAGAAGAAAAATGGATCTGAGGTCTTGCCACCTGAATTCCTTCCTCTACCTCGGTAGGTTATCAGCATGAAAACAGGAAATGAATTGGACACCATTAATAAAACATGAAGCCTCCGTGTTCAGGCTGTGTGCTCTGCTGTCGGAGTGTAGAAGGCACTGTGAGAAGGAAACAGAGGAATCAAACCCACAAGTTCATTTACTTTTTAACTGCACAGCAAACTTTGGCTCGGAGTTGGAGCTGAACCTTTCTTTTTTTTTCCCCTTGAAATTATAGAAAAGCTTTCAAACCTTCATACAGAAGTGCTGAAGGATTGTTGCTGAGCTGTGAGCGTTCTCTGAACGTGGAAAATTTTCCTAACAGATCTCACAATCATTAGGTATTGCCAATGGTATTTTTAACTCAAAAATGGCTTTCACGATGATGCCAGTATTTAGACCTTGGTTTAGTGCATCTGCTTTCGGAGCCGTTTTGTCTGGTGCAGTTTCTTCTCTCTGTGATGATCCCCTTTTTTCTTTTTGTAAATTGCTTGTATTTGTGAATTTAGGAGCGTCCTAACACATGTACCTTGCTGTATTTTAGGGACTTGCTTTGCTGGAGGGGTTTACTTGTCTTATCAGAATGTGTTTCTACCAATCAAAAAGGATTAGTTTCAAGGAATAGACTGAAAGACCCACCAGCACCAGCACTCTTTCTCTCTGTATTTTCAGACCATCTCATGAAAGCTTATGCTCACATCAGTTTGCAACCCGAGGATGAGAACTAGCAAAGCAGTTATGAAAAAGCCATGGGAACAAAAGCAGAAGACCCGGTTCAGCCAGAGACAGAGGCCTTCTGCAGCTCTCATAAAGGCTTGTTTTGCTCTCTGGGGGAGTTTAATTGCAAAATGTTTAGCATAGGTGAATCATAAGGAGCCTAACCATAGGAAGAGGTTAACCACAGTTGTAGGAAGGATTCATCTGAGGCTGCAACAAACAAGTTCTTGGTGGGAAGAAACCAGAGGGCTCCTCAGCTGTGGACAGGCTTGTTCCTGAAACTCAAAGGGGGAGTTGGGCATCCAGGGCAGGAGTCCTCTTCCTGACCTGAGATAGGGCATAGCCAAGCATGAGGTCAGGTGCAGAGACAAGGGGTTGATTGCTAGCAGGGCTTTTGTCAGGCTGCTGTGGCTGCAACCACTGCTCATCTCCCACAGGAGGCATTACGATCAGCCACAGCTGTGCTGGGGATTAGCAGGGCTTCCATGGCTTTGAACAAGCTGGTGGGTTCTCTCCTTAAATGTGGGAGATCTGCCTCATGGGTCCTGTTGGGACCGAGGGGCTCTAGTCTCATAAAGATGTTACGCTGGGTCCAAATTCCTTCAGGGATTTCTCATTGGAAAGAACCTGTTTGCTAGAATCTGAAATGCAAAAGTGAAACCTCAGCTTGGCTGAGTAACATGGACAGAGAAAATCCCCATCCAGCAGAGCTACAAACTCAGTGTCATAATTCACCTCAATTAGCCATGATTTTCTTGGCTGCCATCTACAAGTTTGACAATAGGAAATTGGATTTGACTCATTACAAGACAAAGGGGCAGTTTGGTGAACGTGCAATTTCAGCCAAAATCATTAGTCAACCAGCAGAGCAAAATTACCTTTCTGTTGAAGTTTACGTTACCGTTTGGTTACTTGTTTTTCTCTCTGGCTCGAACCACAGCAAGCACAGCCAAGTTCTAATTCTCAGCTGTTTGAAGGTATTCAGCCAGGCTGACAATTCATAGGACAACACTTAAAGTCTTAGCAAGGTTCGGTCTAATTACACAGAAGGGTCTGTGTTAATCTGTAATATTAAAATTACCACGCAATCAATGCACGTGCTGAAGAACGGATGTTATTTTGGTTGGAAGTGTCAAAATGCTTTTAGAAAAATTCTGATCCTTCAGAATGACAATCCAAATAATAATTAAAAAAAAACCACCCATGTCAAAACCATTCTTTTCCCTTGGAATGCTTTGACAGAAAATGCCCATCTGCAGTGCTCCCATGCAGCTGCTGGTCCTGGTGGCACCTGAAGGCAACTGAGATGGTTGAGTTTCCCCCTCAAGGTGCTGGAATCTGAAACACGTGCTTGTGGAGGTCCTTGATGGGATGGAGGTCCTTAATGGGATGGAGGTGGCTGAGCATCATTTATTGAGTGTTCAGTACTGGAGTAGGAGCAGGATTTGCTGAACTCAGATTAGAATACAGCAGCACTCGGTCCTTGTGCAGGTACATTTCCCCAGAGAGATATTGGTAGAAATGGCCCTCGTTATTCCTTTAGAGTGTTTCTGACCACCACATTTTGTTCTTTTTGATATAACAGTATGCTAAATGCCCAGATGGTTCCTGCTGACAGTGGTGCTGCTGGTAGATTACTGCTGCCCATCCATTCTCCAGGCACTGCACACCCAGGGCCACTGGGAACAGCAAGGCTGTGAGACCACCAGGTCCTTCTGCTGCCATCATCATTGCACCTCTCCTGCTCATGCTGCACCTGGTTTCCTTGTAAGTGCATCCTGAAATTGAGTTTCCCAGCTCCTCCCTGCAGGATTCTGCTCTATGCCAGTTGTTCTTTACGCTACGATTATTTTTTCTGTGTCTGGTGTAAACTTCTCCTTCCTTAGCTTCAGGTCAGTGCTTCTCATCTGGTGTCCCTCCCTCTCCTCACCCAGCTGCTCGTTCACATTAACTGCACGATAATTAGAGACTGATCCTGTCCCCTGAGCCTCTGCTTCCCCAGACTGTGTCTCCAATCCTGCCCTCCCGCAGCAAACCCCACTGAGATCCTCAGCTTTGGCACATGTCCATTTGGGGCTGCTCCTGCTTTTCTATCTAGTTCTCAGCGCACAGGTCTTTGATATTATAATGCAGGAATGGCAGGAGACCCTGGTTAAGCAAAAACAGAACCGGCCCTCCCTCCCTCCCTCCCTCTGGGGGTTACGGGTTATTAACAGAGCTTTCTTTGCTCAGCTGAGCACCATGGAGCTGCCAGGTCTCTGCCTGCATTCCTGTCTCACAGCTTCAGAATTCTCACCCTATTAAAAAAAGGCAGAAACGAGGCAGCTCCTGCAGCTCCCTGTCCTGCTGTGGTCACTGGTCTGAAGGCAGTGGTTTGTGAAGTCCCACTGCCCACCTCTGCTGGGTTCCCCATGGGTCAGCTCTGCTGAGGAATAGAAACGAGTTCTGTCATTGGCACCATCAGTGTCTTGAACGACGGGGTCGTTTAGGCTCGTTAGGCTCAGCTTATTTTTAAGAAACCCCTGTTCCTTGGCTGCTGTTAAGCCTGATTCTCAGGGGCTTCAAGCTCATTATTCCTCTGTGCTGTCTGGTTGAATGGTTCATAGTTGCAGGCTTCTCCCTTTTCTGGTCATCTCAAGTGAAGTTGCTTTGTGTGCCTGCTGCCAGAGGTTCCCACATGGGTGCTGGGTGTTCCTGTGCTGACCCCCCCCCCCACTATGCCATCCTCTCTGGATGCTTTTCTGGTTCCACAGACAGAGAGAACAGCTCTGGGACACTCCTCAACCCCACAGTGGGGACACAAAGCAGTGGCAGTGCCAGGTAAAGGGCTTGATGCTTTCAAACCAGCTCTTGTTGGTTTGGGATCTTTCCATTTGAAGGCTTCTGGCACGTGAAGAGCCCTCCCCTGAGTTTTTCATCCCCTTTCAAGCTGCTGCAATAAACCCACGAACCTCTCTTTCATTTGGCTCCACCGGTGCTGTCTGTGGTGGGTCTCCTGCTCTGCACACACGCACGCCCTGAGGCCTGGACTGAGCATCCCGATCCCACCTTGTGATGCCCCGTGTGCAGCTGGCAGCAGCAGCCCAACCCTGAGAGCTGTGTCATGTATGCAACCTGCCCTGCTGCTGACGTGAGGGCTCTGTGCAACACCTGGCATCTGCCTGCAGTGAAACAAACCGTTCAGCAAAGCTCAAGTGCGCATTTTGCATTGCTCACAGTGTGCAAACTGGGCACAGTCCAACGCTTACACCTCTGCCATAACCCAGGGAGGAAATCCAGGAGGTTGCATCTCACTGAGCAACAGCACCTCTTGAAGCCTGGCTGCCAGCCTGGGGAGGAGGCTGAGCACATCCTGACCCTCACTGTGGCATCTGGGGCTGCACTGCTCTGTGCCAACAACAGTCTGTGCTGAAGAGCTCTTTCCTGCCCAGGGGTGTCCACAGGGCTCAACTCAGGAGGCTGCCAGTGCCCTGGACCAAGCCTGAAAAACCAAACAAACATTTGGGCTGCTGCTTAAAAACCAGCTCTGTGGAAAGCTCCTATCTGCTGTAGCAAAGCACCCAACTGACAGGAGGAAACAGAACTGCTCGTATTTTAGTTTTGACACAAATAATCTGGGATACTGGCAACAAGAAAAACAGCCGCACCTGCTGGCTGTCACCTGGGCATGGTTCTTGGCAAAGAGCAGCAAGCTGGGGCTGAGGGTCAGGCTTCAGCCTCTTCCAGACAAGCCAGAAGCAGAAACTATCTGAAGAATCCCACAGACTCACACCCAATGTTCAAGGGCAGCGTTTCTCCCAGCACACACAACCCTGCCCAGGAGGCTAGCAGGGTTGTATTATCTGCAGTTTGAATCTGGACATGAGGAGGCAGGTGCTGCAGCAAACAGGCAGGCACATGAGCAGCTGCAGTCAAAGCGAGAGCAAGCACTCCAGGTCTGCACACTCAGCACATTGCATCCCGTCCCAGCAGAGATGGGGTTGTGGAGTGAGACAGGGAGCAACCGGGGATGCGTCGCAGAGCTGCTGCCAAATGGAGAGCACAGCAAGACGAGCGCGTGGGCAGTGGGTTTGGTGAGACTGGAGGACGTGTGGCAGCGCAGCGTGTTGCACCAAGGCACCATGCTGCAAAGCAAAGAGAACTCCAGACCGAGTCCTGGCAGTGCCAGGAGCACTCACATGGCAGCCACGGCTTCGGGGTTTGCAGCCCACTGGGGCTTTGCTTGTGCATGGGCACTGCTCTTCCAGAGGGTGTTTCACCAAATGGTTAGAGAGAGGTTTGTAATGTAAATGAAGGCTTCGGGGGTTGCTCTGTCTTCAGAAGGGGCTGAGGCCACGACTGATTAAGCATTGGGTGAGCCAGGGCAGAAACAGTGCTGGTGTGGGAAGCATTGCCAACACAAATCTCTTAATAGTCTTTGAGTCTCTGCGAGGCCTTAAAATCAATCAGAGGATTAACTAAGCAAAGCTGTCTTTATGATCCATGATCCAGCTTTGTGCAATTGGATCCAGCTTTGCTTGGGCCTCTCTTTGCGGGTGGGCTGTGATGGAGGAGCCCTGCAGGAGATCTGGGAATTGGGCATCTGCAACACGCACAGAAGGGATGCCAGAGAGACACGACACTTTGTCTTCTCCCATCCCTCCCACTGGCTCCTCGTGATCCAGTGTTTCTCTTTACAGAAGCTCACCGAAGAAAAGCCACCGACTGTTCCTGGGGAGATGCCAGCTTTGTGTGGCTGCTGGGACGCCTTCTGCCAGGGGTGCATCACACCTTCCTGTTGTCTTATCCTTCTGGCACCTGGACTTTGGTTTCAGGGCTGGGCTGAAGCCTGGGAGCTGCTGCACCCGTCTGCTGCCACACGCGGTAGGAAGCATCACCTCCTGAGCTGCACTTTGGGGAATTCACCACTGAAGATGTGTCTCTGGTAGGAACACACTGCGGGCTCCTGGTGCATAAGCAGTTGGATGTTAGGAAGTCAGGTTGGATATTAGGAGAAATTTCTTCTCCAAAGAGAGGTGACGCATGGGCTGCCCTGGGAGTAGTGGGTCACCGTCCCTGCAGGTGTTCAGAACCATGGGGATATGGCACTTGGGGACATGGCCAGTGTGCATGGTGGGGATGGGCTGAGTTTGGGCTGGGGGATCTCACAGGGCTTTTCCAACCTCGGTGATTTTGTGATTCTCTGATTCTATCGTGGTCTCTGCTCAAAGCATTTCCCCACTTTTGGGTGTTTGTGTGTTCTTGGTTGCACAAACCACAGCTGATGGCAATCAGGTGAAATTCGTAGAATCATAGAATCATTTGAGTTCACAGGATCACAGAATGAATCACAGAATGGCCAGGGTTGGAAGGGACCTCAAGGATCCTGAATATCCAACCCCCCCTGCCACATGCAGGGCCACCAACCTCCCCATTTAAGTTGGAGGGGACCATTGAAGGTCATCTAGAATTGCCATCAAAGCATCTGTAGACCTTGGAAATGAAGTCGGTCCAGACTATAGCAACACATCCACTCAAGGGGCAGCTCCACAGACAGATTCCTCAATGAGGCGTAGGATGAAAGGATGGCGGTCTCTGCAATTGTGAGCAGCGTGAAGAAGCCACCCAGAGGTGATGCACTGATTATCTCTGCTTCCCCAAACACCAGGAGGTGGCCTTTTGTGAAACGTTTCCCTTATCTGCCGCGCAACGTCGCGGCTGTCGAAAGCTTCCATGAATTTCAAACAAGCAAACTGGACGAAGCTGCGGGAAGGAAAAATAAAACAAACAAAACACCCTAACAGCTATTGAATAACAAACATCACTTCTGCCACTGGAAATCTCTGCAACCTGTCAGAGCAGTGCAGAGCTGCAAGGCGGCATTGCTGGGAGCGCAGTGCTGCTGACAGCCCAGTGCCGGACACAGCTCCTGTGGGCATCTGTCTGCTCTTCTGCCCTCTGCCTCTCCTCCCCATCCTTTCACATTCTAGCACTTTTTTAAATGAAACTCACAGATTCGTGTTACAATTATATCCTGTACTGAATATATTTTTGCTTTGAGAAGAGCCGGGACGATTTTATGTGAAGGCGCCTTCTGGCTGCCCAGGAGAGCTCCTCAGACAGCCCTGAGACAGGCTGGCATGTCACATAAACTGCAAGTACGTGCCTCTGAGAGTAGAAGTTTCCCTGGGAAACCTCGGACTCTCCTTGTGTTATGGCCTGATTATCAAACAGCTGATTTACATCTTATTAGGTGTTTCCATCTGTTGATAGAAAAATGCCCCATTGCATAACATTCATTTTGCTCCTGATTGGATTCTTACCGTTGCCAGCAGCACTGGGGCCACAGCAGCCTGCTGAAATGCCCCGCAGCTGGGGGCACTGGGCTGCTGGAGCTGTGGGCAGCACTCATCTGTACTTGGAGCAGTGTCTGCCCACAACACTGCAGACCCCCCCCAGGGCTGGCACCCACTGGGCTGCTGCCACCCACTTCTCCAAGTGCATTTTTCCAAGCCTGCACACAAATCTCCGCTTCTTCATCCGTGCACACGGTTTTATGCAGCTTTGGTGATGCTTCTCTGACAGACAGCCTCTGTCTGCACTGCAGCTGGAGCGCATTGCACAGCTGGAACGTGGCACACAGCTGGAGCTCAGCACACAGCTGGCTGCAAGAGCTGCCACCTGCAGTCACCAAAGAAAAGGAGCAGTGTGGGCAGGGCTGAGCAGGTCGCCGTGTTCCTCTTCGTGCCCATTGCACTTTGCCAGTCTGTGTGTGGATGCTGCGTCTCTGAGGGCTGAACTGAGGAGGCAGCGGTGCCAACAGCAATGCATTTGGAAGCAGATGGTCTTTAGGGACCCTTCCTACCCGAGCCATCCTATGATTTGCTCACTGATAAATATTTGCATCGTCAAAGAGCCCTGAGAAATGTGATTACTCCAAAGCATCCCAGGATGTGTTGCTCTGTGGCAGTCACTGGGAGTCTGTTATCCTTGCACCTCAGAGAGCCTAAAAACTGTGTTCAACAGGCGAGTAAAGCCAAATATTTTAATCAGCAAAAAAACAGAAGAGTGTTGAGATGAGTGAAGAGAGGAAGGAAATCCTGGGCTTGGTGCCTGGTTCGTAATCCCTGAACTGTCTCACTGTAGTGCTGTGAAAGCCAGGAGGAATAAGCCTGATACCATAGCATCTTGCCATCAAAAAACTGCATTAATACAGAACTGCAAAGGTAATTAACCAAATCAGACTTGGTCCAGTGCTGAAAAGGATTTCTTCCCCCAGGGATGAGCAGATGTCTCAATCTAATTATACAAGTTATTTAATCAGAACCAGAGGTTGGGTGTCTAATGAAAATATACCTAGCATGGGGGGAGAGGTTGCAGATAGGGAGCAGTGCAGCTGGGGAGAGGGGGAGAGGCATGACTTTGGGCTGGCAGCACTTCTAGAGCTCTTCTGCCCTGTTTGTGAGCACTACAGGAATGGGAATTTGGAATAATATCAGTAGTGAGAAGAATACGTTCTGGCAAAAGATTGTTTCTGGCATGGAGAGAAAATATTCTGGTAAAAGTTATCAACGCTTCAGGTCTCCCCTTCCCCGGTGCTTCTCCATGCAGCAGGCAATGAATCTTAACCACATACTTTGCTCACTCTAAATGAGTTGTTGTGTTTTCTCCGCTGCATGCAGTCAGAAGGAGCCACGCACAAGGAGAAGAAGCGCTCAACCATCTCCCAGATCCTTTGTTCTGAAGCATGGAGCATCTGTTTGTGGCAGCTGAAATGGAGAAACGCTCTGTGGTCGTGTGGTTGTAACACAAATGGGTTGTGATGTGCTGGGAGACCTCAATAAAGAGGGGGAGATGCAGTGCAGGAGCCACTTGGGTTAGTTCAGGTATCAACTCCAGTCTGTAGGAATCTGCTCTGCTGAAACACATTTGCACAGCGTGGTTCCTCTGTGTGGAAATCTGCTCTCAAGCCCTTATGCAAAAGTGGTCAGCCTTTCTATGAGCCCCCACCAACAGTAAAACTGCAAACTGAGCGTGGGTCGGGGTGGTTGCATGGGTTGGGTTGTTTTTTCTTCCTTCCCTGTGAACTTTTATAGCTTTGCAGAAACAACTGAAGCTGAGCTGAGGCACTGAGGCCATTGGAAATCTGACCCTGAATATTAAACAACCTGCCTGCGAGGTCGCGCTCAGCCGGGGGATTTAAGCAGTTCTGCATTGCCGAACCGAGGTCCCCTGAAAGAGAATTTACCAGGCAATAAGAAATGGATTGACAGAAAAAGGAATAAAGATGAAATGCGACGTCTGCCGAACCCGTTTTTCCTCATTTCGTCGTATATCCTGGCTTCTTTAACCTCCCTGTTAATGAGAGCTCTTCCACTTTTGTATCCCCAGGTGCTCGGAGTGCCACTAAACCCCCTTCCCACCCCTGGAAGGACAGACAGACAGACAGCAGTGCATTTCAGCAGGCAGAACTGCAGCTGCACGGCTCCTCCTGCAGCCTCAGCGCGGGGTTGGTGGGGTGCTGGGAGCTGCTGCCCTCAGTAAGCGGGATGGGAAGAGGAGGTGACACATCACCGTGCTGTGACTCAGGAGAAAGGCCGAGCCCTGAGGGCCTGGTGAGTGCAGTGGGTGTTTGCTGCCCACAGCGTGGCTCAATTACAGGAGTGACAAGCTGCAGCACAGCTCACAGCCCTGGTAGACAGTTCTGTCAGCAGCCTGAGCGGTGCTGGGCCACTGCCAGCCAACGACTTGGAGCACAAGAAACAAAGCAAAACTTGACTTTGAACTATGCTGCCCTATATCCAGAATGGTTGCATTGGTTGCACGCTGGGTGAATAATGCACTGCTTTCACTGGGGTGCCTATTCTGCACTGAGAACCTGAGCTCTCTACCCGTGAACTAAAAAAACACAGCTGAGCAGTGCTTTCCTAAGGTTCGCCCACTTGCAGGAGCTGTGATTTGGCCCTTTGTGAATATTTCTCTTCTGGGAATGCAGTTGTGAGCACTGGGAATGAGCCAAAATCTGCTATTGCAGATCTGGTCATCAGTATTTCAAAGTCCAATTAATTAAGTCCATTAGGCTTGGAAGGTGAGAGGTGTTGAGTCTTTCTTTATGAGGAGAAGAACGATGAGATCCAAAAGGAAGGGGTGGGTGATGATGGGATGGCTGGGACCAGGAGGAACGGTCCTTCCAACAATGCCACCCCCAGGGCAGGGACTGCATAAGGGACAGCACTGGGAGGGAAGAGCACCAGCACCCAGTGTGGCCATGCTCCAGGCTGAACGCAGGCATGGAATCACTGCCTCCTCCCATCCACGTCTGTGGAGAGCTTTTTACTGGCGTCAGTGGCAGCAGGATCAGAGTCAAGTCTTAAGGCTCTTCCCCTGGAGCTCACAAGAGTTTAATAGAAAGGAAAAAAAAAACAAAAAAAAAAGCCTAAGTTGTAATTAATCAGCTTCTGCTTCTCCTGCAGGAAAGAGTTAATGAAGGAAAAGCTTGTCTGGCCAAGGGGCTGGTGTGGCTCCAGGAGAGCCGTGACTCAGAGATGGAGCATCCTGCCAGAGCACCGAGCTCCTCATCCTCAGCTCCTCCTCTCCCAGCACAGCGATGTGAATGTGTTCAGCATCGTGGCTGAGGGTTTGTCCCATACAGCACCTGCTCTTCCCACTCAGCTCCACACTCTTGGCTTGCGTAAGAAACTCCTTACCTCATAGTCTGTGGGTAGGACCTGGCACATCTGGCTGTATCGTGTCGGTCAGCGGTGCACAGCCCTTGGTCATCTCATTGAGGCTCTCTACAGGACAGGAGAAGGTTAACAGGATGATTTACAAGAGTAAGGAAAAGGACAGGAACAGATGGACTGGGTGAGTTATTCAAAGGTTTGACCAGAGTGTGACCAGCTTGCGCTCAAAATGAAGCGTGGAGCAACGAGATTTGGTGGCAGTGTCACAAACAGCCCGTGCTCAACGACACACAATCCTCTGTCCCAGGGGCATGTTAATAGTTCTGTATAAAATGGATGTTTTCCTTCTCCTCAGCTCATTGCCCCCTGCCCAATGACCAATGAGGGATCCCACGAAGCACCGACATGAAGGCAGCAGCGATGCAGCAGAGCAGGGTAGGATGTGTGGTCCTGGCAATAAGTGGAATTACACCGCTTTGAACCCAGTCTGGCAGAGCATAAACATATGGATTAGCACCAACGCAACAGATCAAAACCCAAGGAGGAGGGCTCAAACAAGTCGTAATTTGTAACAACAACAAAACTGCAGGGTTTCATCACTTCAGCTCCCAACCCTCACACCTCAACCTCGCCGCAAGGAAAACAGCTGCCTCCCTTTTCTCTCACATCTGTCCTAAATATCCCGTTGGGGCAGCCAGCCTGGGAAGCACTGCCTGTTGGGTGGAACACCGCTGTCTGGAGCTGTGCGTTGTCAGAGCAATCACTGTGGGGTGTGGACAAGAAAAGGACACACTGTTCAATGCCGGATCTGTTTGGAGAGTAGAAAACTGTTCCCGTGCAACCCTTCTTTTGCAGCAGCCAGGCTGCAGGGTGCTGCATGCACAGAGCTGCAGGTCCAGCTGCGAGTGCCCCAACACTGCTGTGCTGTTTGGCTGCAGCTGCTGCTGCAACAGAGGTGACTGCAGATCGACAAGGCAGGGCGACAGCACAACTGTAGGCACCTTCATCTGCTGCATGCATAATCCTTGGTGCTGAACCCTCTCCAAACTCATCCCCAGGTCTTATCTTTTCTAAACTGGGTATTTATTCATGTGGTTGTTTTATGTAAACTGCAAAGAGCCTCATTAAATGGAAACCTTCCCTCGTGAGCTTCATTATTAAGGTGGAATGGCACTCGGAACGCGCTGAGCAAAATCCATGAGCTTTGGTGTTACTTGGGGAAGGAATGCTCAATGCTGGCAGCCCGGGGCTGAGCCCACCTGTCACCCCCATTCAGGAGCATGCTCTGCTCTGGGATGAGGCACTGCAATGGGCACTGTGTGCAGGAAGCTCCCAGGAGAAACCCTGAAGAACAGAATGGGGACCTGGGACCTGCCCTGCCCCAGCAGTCCAGCGCTGGGCCCTTTGGATTCTGGAGAAGGATGGAGCAGCAGTGAGGCTGACCTGGGCTGCAGCTCCAAGCTTGGGGCTGGCTGACATGGAGCTGTGGAAGGGGATGAGGTTTTGCAGCCAAAACTTCCCATTGCTGGAATGCTGGCCAGGTAAATCCCAGTGTTTTTGTGGATCCCTGTTCTCATTTGTGTTACAAATGCTCATGGCAGAATTGACAGCAGAAGACACACACACATGGTTATGGATGCATGCATCAATCTGAGGCTGGAAATGAATTGGGTTGCATTTATTTTCCCTTCCTTAACCCAACTGAACTCAATCCTGCTTTCCCAGGACTGAACACCAATAGGAACCACTGCAGACAAGTTGTTTCCTTTTGGTAGAAGTCACACTTGATGAAGCAGTGTGATTTTTGGGGAACAGGCTGAGAGAGCAGAGAGGGACTGGATGCTCTGGCAGCGCCCCATGCATGCTGAGCCCTCTGCTGTGGTCACCCCAGTGCCCCAGTGGGAGCCGTGCATTGCCTCTGCTGTGTCTGGTGCCTCTCAGCCCCCCCATGCATCTCCAGCTGAAGGACTTGAGAGCTGATAGAGCTTTTTAAAGTGGGGATTATGTAAATGCATATTATGGCGCTTTCATAAACAGGGATTATTTGTCGAATGCTTTCGAGTGCTTCCTTCGCAGCGATTAAGGTCTGTTGTGTAAATAGGAATTTAGTGGCTGCTTAGCCTAAGTTCCATTGGTTCAATAAAAGATGAGAGCAGCACTTTTTTTGCATTCATCTTGGCCTCGTGAGAACATCTTTGGGGCACTTCTCAGATAATTACATGAACATCTACACCTACTGTCCACTGCAGGCAGCATACCTTGCATGTCCATATCGACCATTCTCCATTTCCCTTCCTTGCTACTTTTGTGATTAAATCCGTTGTCTCAGCTGCTATTCTGTTGGTTATCTCCCCCCAAGTTAACAAGTCTGAAAGTGTGGACGAGCAAAGCAAAATGAGTATTTTGCCCTCAAATGCCAAAAGACAGAGAGGTCCAACACGTTGTACCGTGCATTATCCGTGCTGTAGTCGGGCAGTGCGGTGCTATCAGTCACACAGGGAATGAATCCCATCAAACAGCACCCATGGGGCTGTTCATTCCTGGAAGTGGGAACAGACCACGGCCAATATTCCTGATGGGGCTTGATGAGGAAACGAGGTTTTGCTAGAAAACTCCTATTGGGACGTGGCCACATCTCAGCCCCTCATCGCTGAGTGCTTTGGGTCACTGCTCTCCTTTGCATCTCCTTGGAGCGACTTTGCAGCTCCGTTCTGCAGCTGGAGCTACCAAGGAAGGCATTGAATGGGAATTTCTCATCTTCCTCTCATTCGTTGTTATTTCCAGTCTTTAAATTCAACTTCTACCAAGCTAAGCAAGCCTAAAGCACAAGCAGTGCACGATACCTTGCTTTGAGAAGATCGTTTGCTTGAGTATAAACCAATATTACTTTATAATTCAGCTGCGATGGGAATCAAGTTGTCACAAAATGCATTTTCTCCTTTGGTGAATTCTCAAACACATAAACAGGAGTTTGAAAGGAGATCTCATCCTCAGCCTTTGGAAATGATTAATTTCTACTAATGATTTACTGATGTACACACGGCTTATTTTGCATAAAGTTGGAGCTGAGCACGTTTATTCATTATGATTCCCTTAAAAATGGATATAAATATCAAGAGCAATTGGCTACCAAAAATTTGAATATTGCAGCACTGCATCATGGGGAGCTGACATGAATACGAGTCGGGTGAGAAAAAAATACACAGAAAATGCTTATCCGAGTGTGATACTTTACAGCACATCACTGAATCATTGGAAAGGGTTACATTCATTACAAACGTATGCAGTATTTGCAAAGGATTCCTTGGGAACTAAAAAAAAATAAAGAAAAGAGCAATATTTTCCTTAGTAAATGTGCTCTGTGATCTATGGAACACATTTCTCCTGTGAAGTCCAAAGCCTGGGCTCTCTGCAAGGCTGGAACACCTGCATCATGGGATGGTTCACTGCTGGCACAGAGAGAATGAATGGAATGGGGGGCAGCTGAGGTGCAACAGAGAGCAAAGGGCTGCACACCTTGGAAGGAAAAGCCTTTGAGAGGTGGCTCCCGGTGTCCGTATCCACCAGGAGAGCAGGAGGGCACCTGCACACGGCCATTGACATGTTGCACTCGTCCCTGTATTGATCTGCTGCTTCGGCGGCCGCCCGAGCCCTTGGCAAAGGTCACTGTCTCTGTTCCCGTGTTACAAATGGGAGCGAGGAGGCGAAGAGATTAATTTTCAGAAGTGATTAATGTTCCCGGTGCCCATCCTCACTCACGTTAGGCCTCGAGCCCCAGTGAAGTCTGGAGCTGGGTTAATTAAGGTGTCCCCTGCCCCTCTCCCAGCCCCGCCAGACACGGCCGTTGCTCACTGTCGTTGCCTTTTCCCACAAACTCCTCCGCCCTTCATCCCGTGCCAGCCCTCAAACCGGCTCAGGGACTCCCCCAGGGCTGCTCCCTCTCCTCCCTGGCCTCACATGTCCTGTGACACCCAAACACTCACATCCTCTTTGTCCAATGGCTCAGACAGAACTCCCACCTCCCGACGATTTGGGGCAGCTGCTGCCCTTCGTCTCCGCTTCACCACGGGCAGAGCATCATTAAACAACAGTCAGACAAAGCAGCTGCAGGGGAAGTTTCTCCCAGCACCAAATAACTGTTATAGAGCCAAACTGCACTTTGTTTGAGTGCAGCATTAGAACAAAAACGCTTTCTGACAGAGCGAGAGCAGCGAAGCATATCTCCAGAACAAGGAGACCCTTCCAACGCTGGGAGCTGCAAAAAGGGGTCGGGGAAGTGGGATGTAAAGCAGACAACAGACAGATGTGCACTGCTAATGTCTGCCAGTGCTGAAAGCAGTAACTGCAGCTCTTGGTGCCCCTGCGGCCATACAGTGCCATACGGTGCCATGCACGCTGTACTGTACAGGACTGTGCTGTGCTTTATTGGGCTCTACAGTGCCAAACACGGCTGGACCACACCACATCATTCTGCACACCACCGTACCGTGCCATATAGCACCATAACGTGCCACACAGCACCATACTGTGCCATATGGCACCGTACCGCGCCATGCACCGCCGCACAGTCCGCTCACGTGCTCCTCTCCCGCCACCTCCCAGGCCCGCGCCCCTCGCCCGCGTCCGGCCCACGTGGACGCCCGCCGCCCGGCATGAATGAAGCGCCCTCCTCCAATCGGCGCCCGCCTCGCCGCCGGCCGCACGCGGGCCGCCCCGCCGAGCGCGTCTCCGGCCAATCGTGCGGCGGCGGCGGCCCACCCGCAGCCAATGGGAAAGGCGAGCGCTGGGCGGCTCCCCGGGCCGGCGGCGCCCAATGGCGGAGCGGCGCGGGCCGGCGGTGGCGGCGGGCGGGCCAATGGGACGAGGGGGCGTGGCCGGCGCGCGGCGGCGCGGCACCCGGGCGCGGGGCTCTAAAGCGCGGCGCGGCGCCGCGTCCCGCAGACGGCCATGGCCGCCGCCGCGCAGTACCTGCCGCGCTCCGCCGCGCTGCTGCACCCCGACGGCGACCGCCTGCATCAAGGCACCACGTACCGCGAGGTGCAGAAGATGATGCACCACGAGTACCTGCAGGGCCTGGCCCCCGCCGCCGCCGGGCACGCCGTCGGGTTGGCGCACCACCAGTGGCTGCCCAGCGCCGGTACGGACTGGGGCAGCGGCGGAGGAGGAGGAGGCGGCGCGCACCTCCCGCCGGCGGCCGAGCACGGCAAGGGCGGCCCGGGAGGGCCCCGCGAGGAGCTGCCCCCCGCCGCCGCCTTCCACCCGCGGCCGCACCTGGTGCCCCAGGCCGGCGGCTGGGCGCAGGGCGCGGGGCCGCCCCCCCACCTACCCCCCATGTCGCCGCCGTCGGGGCAGCCGCTGCTTTACGGGCAGCCCTACGGCGGCCTCAACGGGATGCTGGGCCCCCCAGGCCCCGCGCTGCACCACGGGCACGGGCTGCGCGACCCGCTGGGCGCCGAGGAGGCGGCGGGCCACGAGCTGGCGGCCTCCCCGCCGCCGCCGCTGGGGCCGCCCGAGCCTTCGGACGAGGACGCGCCGAGCTCCGACGACCTGGAGCAGTTCGCCAAGCAGTTCAAGCAGCGGCGGATCAAGCTGGGCTTCACGCAGGCCGACGTGGGGCTGGCGCTCGGTACCCTCTACGGGAACGTCTTCTCGCAGACCACCATCTGCCGCTTCGAGGCGCTGCAGCTGAGCTTCAAGAACATGTGCAAGCTGAAGCCTCTGCTCAACAAGTGGCTGGAGGAGACGGACTCCAGCACGGGCAGCCCCACCAACCTGGACAAGATCGCGGCGCAGGGCAGGAAGCGCAAGAAGCGCACCTCCATCGAGGTGGGCGTCAAGGGCGCCCTGGAGAACCACTTCCTCAAGTGCCCCAAGCCCTCGGCGCACGAGATCACCTCCCTGGCGGACTCCCTGCAGCTGGAGAAGGAGGTGGTGCGGGTCTGGTTCTGCAACCGGCGGCAGAAGGAGAAGCGCATGACGCCGGCCGGGCTCCCGCACCCGCCCATGGAGGACGTTTACGCACAGGCGGACACTTCGCCGCTGCACCACGCGCTGCCCGGCGCCGTGCCGTGACCGCCGGCCCCGCCGCTGGGCCCCGACGGCGGCGGCGGAGCGGGCGCGGGCGGCGGGACGCGCCCCGGTTCCTTCCTTCCTTCCTTCCTCGGACTGGCCCGGCCCGGCCGCCCTCCCCAGCCCTATTTATTCGGGCGCCGGAGCCGCTCGCGGCCGCAGCAGAAGTAGCCAAAGGTTTGCGATCTCTAATTTATTCCCTCCCGCGGGGCCCCCGGCTCCGGCCCGGCCGTAGGACGCGGCGCTGCCCGTCCCGGCCCCTTTCTATTTATTTTCTAACCGTGCGCGGAGCTCTCTCCCTCCCGTTGGTAGGTTCGGTTCGGTTCATTTCCCCCTCCTCTTCCACCCCCCCTTTTCCCCTTTGGTTTCGGTTTTTGTTTGTTTGGTTTTTTTTGTTGTTGTTGTTTTTTTTTGTTGTTATTTGTTTGTATCTTTATTGCAAAACCAATGTAGACTGCGAGGGTACGTTTCTATTTATGTTATAGTAAATATTTTATTACTTACATAAACCATTTACCCAGGAACCGGTCTCGTGTCGTCTTTCGGGAGCGGGCGGCCTCGGGCCGGGGTCCATCTGGCCCCTATCGCCCCCCTCAGCATCCCACCCTCGGTGCGCTCCCCGCTGCCCTTCGGTCCAACCCCGCGCTCCGGAGCGCCGAAGGAGCGTCCCGCTGTGCCGCGAGTTCGTTACGCTGCGCCGAACTTCTGCTTTGCAGCGCGATTAGAGAACAGAACTTCTCTCCGCTTCTCGCAGGGATAACAGACATCCGTGAGCAGAGCTCGAGACGCCGCGTTGTTGTGGTTTTTTTTTTAGTTTGGTTTGGTTTTTTCTTTGGCTCCGAGGTGTTCCGCTCGGTGTCCCCAATTCTCACGGCTTCGTGCCCCGATGGGTCGCGGTTGCCGCAGGGAAAGCTGCGAACTGAGTTCTGCCGTGCTGTGTAGAGGGACCGACCCCCATCTCCTGTCGCTCTTCTCTTTCAGCACCGCCGGGACTGCGGCCGCCACTGCGTGTCCTTTGGGTCCAGCGGTGTTTTATGCAGAGGGAACTGTGCCACGTGTGCCCGCGCTGCTCAGATCCACTGCTCGGATGCGCGGTTGAGAGCTGGGGGTAAAGCATCCAATTTCCTTTTAATTTGGCAGAGAACTTCCCGTGGTTTCAGCTCCTAGCGTGGCCCTGCTGGAGTCCAGGCACCAATTCCATCCCACGACCTTCAGATGGGATTTTCTAGGGATAAAGAGGCGATATTCTGGGGGTAGCCTGCAGGTAAATTCAGATATATGTATTTTTATATATTAAATGTAACTTACGCTGGGGAACTCGCACGTGAAAACTCTTGCATTTATTGCAGCTTGATTTTTTTGTTGTGCCTTTGGGGCGCATATGCGTGCAGCGCTTCCCAAAGCAACAACACAATATTGGCAATATTCACATTATAAATTACCCCATTCCCAACACTGCCGTGTAGGCACCCCATGTTAGCAGATACAAAAATATCACGGCGTTGCTCGTCCCAA